TGTTACTATAAATAGACAATCGTCATATTGAGAGCGGTAGTGACATTACCACACTACTTAGAAATTAGCGTCCCTATAACCGAACGGAAAAGGTTAACCTACATATTATCTGTTACATCGTTTCGTACTCGGTGTATCGGTGAAAAGTATTCATTTCCATTGAGGATGCTTGTGTTTTCTAAGAATTAAACACACTATAACTGTTTATAAGCAATTGTTTATGTAATTGTACATAATACGGTGGCTGTGATTCTTCTAAAACGGCGAATGGCGAACGACGACTAAACTGCGTAGGCAAAAGAAAATCAAGAAAAAGAAACATTGCCGATAGCTAGAGTCTTTTAATAAATCTAAGAGTTCGGCAATTTTTCTTTTTCTTTTTACTTGACAGTTCCTCAATAACCTTTTATAAAGGTTCTATAACTTGTTGACAGTTCCTCAATATCATTTAAAGGCTCAATACCACTCTTATTGTAACTGAATAATATGTCCCAATCTTTATTCTGGTCAACAAATTGTACTATTTTAGAATATTTCAATTAATTGATGATACAAATTTCATCTTAACACACCTTATTTAAAAATTTTGAAAAATTCAACATAATGGTTTGAAACGTCTAACGTAAACCTTTTCAAATGAAACTTCGATTTCAAAATATTTTCGAACCCTCTGGACAAGTAAAATAGGATGTAATGGATAATTTACACAACAGGTAGGACACTTAAACATCTAGTACTTAGATAGAGATATTATTTATTTTCTGGAGCTTTCAAGCCAGCAAGAGTGTTATTGTCCCTTTAATAAAGGTTCTATAACTTTGTTACTAAAATATTTAAAATCTATTTCTCTACACAACAATATTGCTAATTAAAAAGAATCATTATAGTACTTCTGTAAATTACACCTACATGTATTGGGCTAATGAAATGAAATGGTGTTTAACGTCCTACTGTTCTGCTCCGAACTGGGCTTATGAAGACGGGCATACGCCATACAGTGTGCTATGAGGGAAATTTTGCCCGGACAGCGGCACTACGGCCTACTCTTATATCGAATTCCAACTGTCAAGGGATCTTTTACGTGCACGCCGATGTGTACACGGGACCTCGGTTTTTCGTCCCATCCGAACGACTAGACAGCTGTCCATGTCAGGTTATCCGTCCTGCATCACTGACAAGGGGGAACCACGCCGGAAAATCTGGATAAACTTTCTCGGCCAATGCAGGGATCGAACAACATCAGCAATAGCATTCCTAGTATGTTATGTGGGTAATTTGGCCAGGGCAGTGCGATGGTGGTATTTCATGATAAAAGAGTTCGAAATTAATTTTGTAAGAATTCAAGAGTAGCAGGTGCTGAATCCAAATATATTCTAAGTTAAGAATATAGTACAGGCGTAATAAAACACATACGGCTTCTTCAAACAGGACACAAACAGATTTGTTTTAAATAATAATATGGTATACATATATATATAATATTACAGGGCCTATATACTGTAGAGGTTACCCAAGTTCTGTAAATATGTTCTGGTTAATGTATTGAAGTCGTTAGCTAGTACCAGTGACAACACAAACAAATGTGTTTTCATTAAAAAAAAAATATGGTATATAGTTGAAGTGTACAAATTTCCTGAAAATAAAAACATTCCCCAGTTATTGAGGGCACAGCTCACCGTCATATGATATCATTATCAGTTGTTACACCCAGGCCTAAATGATTGGTATTGATACTGGTAGTTGAGGTAGATGAATAACAACTTAATAAATTTTTCGTAAAACAAGTCATCCAGCGTATATTTATTGGAAGCTTTTGTACTGAGAAATGAAACCTAGAATACGCTACTACTAGACATCCAAATTTAAAGTTGCTAAATCGCTAACATTTGGGACCAAGCAATTGACACAAATGGGTCGTAACGCATATAGTAATGTAATATGAATATATAAAAACTAATTTACATTCAATCGTTTCCGTTTTTACTCTAATTTCAAATCAATTATGTTCGGCGAAATACACCCGATGTCTCAATCAAATGACAATCTCTAGCGTCTGGTTATTCCAGTCCACACCGATAATATTTATTGTGCATGCTCTCGAGATACAAATGGCACTGGAACGTATTATGGTACACGAATGGTAAAATGTTTATTTTGTCTTAAATATGGGATATCAGAAGCCAATTATTTCCTGGTAAGATCACAACATCAATGTTGATTGAAATTGACAAATAATTTGTGTTTTCAATGTCGAAGACATTTGATGATATTGAGTTAGAGACTTGTAACTGTGGACGATTGCACACATAAATACTTTAAGCATTGGCATTCACGTACACACATTAATAACACAATGAAAGCATGTTTTAATTAGATTACTATAATTTCTGGCATAGAATTTGACAACTTAAAGATAGTTAACACTTAACGAATAAAACTCCACTAGTCCAGTTTCTTTACAACACTCAAGCAACAATATAATGATAGCATCTGTTTCAGGGCGGTCAGACCCTGTTTTTTCTTAAATGTATCGATATCGTCAAATATTTTCTCCATGGCAGGTGTCCCTTTGGATGCTGTTTGACGGTGTAGCATGAATTTAACACACGATTTTTTTTCATTTATGCATGTAATTAACAACTCAGCCTCTATATCAACTCCAGTCAATTTTTCAACGTGACCTTAACAATATCTAATGATATCTAGGAATGGCCAGCGATATCTTATTTCAGGAATGGGAAATCCATCGTTATTGTCTTTCCTCTACAAACTGTAAGCTCCTTCCATAAATAGTTTAATTTTACTTTCATCTTGTTCTCCTTTAACTTTGCGAATTTCTCCATTCAGCCATTTATTTTTGTTTTTCTTCAAGCTCTTCAACATTTTGTATTTCGGATTTCCAATTAACACCCATAATACGGCCTTTTTTATATTTAGCAATTGCTTGTATCACACGATGAGGAATTACTGCAGATTAATCTGGATGTGGATGGGTTTTTTCTTTTCAGATTGTTTACCCGCTCTCTCACTTGGTTTATTAACCCTGTGCATCCACATCCTAGTATTGTTCCATTGATGTTGTTAGTTAGATATGTCTTGTGTTTATCTACTTGCTTAGAACAAATTAAAACCCCATCTCTAGCTGTGAGCTTCCCACATCGACCTAAAACTTCATCCACCAAAGTTCTTATAACTTCTTTTCGATCACTTGGACAAGGGCGACGTCCATTTTCACAGCACTTGCTAAAGTTTCTAGGAAATTTTTCCAATGGAATCTCAAAATTGTGTGCCCATTCCACGTCGTGACGAAAGGGGGAATAATACGACTTGATGATAGTCTCGGTCACCCAGAACCTCCTAGTCTTCAACATACGGAGGGTCTGGGAAGGTTGTCAATATTTGACGTAAAGTCCATTTCCCATGCGTAACCGGGGGTTTGGTTTTTAATGTGGTTGATTATCCAGTCTCTTTAGCCAAGTCAAGTAAGAGATGCGCCCCTTCCCACAATAAATCCCATAATTCTTGCATTAATATAAACATACATGAATCGTGACGACGAATTAGGATTAATTTTAAAAGCATAGATATGGCCCATGAAGAGGGAAATTTTACAATAAAAAATTAAGAGTGTTAGATATTGAACTCGCATGCAATCAAATGGATTTTTTGAAATGACATTCTTAAATTAATTTCATGGGCGTAAACATCTTGTTTTAAGAGGAGTTACCTCCCTTAGACATTGTTTATGATAATGTGAAAGACCGGATTATCTAGCCAATTTTTCTCAAATGTTGACAACCTGTCCAGACTAATATTCGTAGAATATTTTTCTGGATGATAGAGACTAACTTAATGATCGAGACTTCTTTATTTCCCGCGTATTTTTTTTATTCCGCGCTAAAATATAGAATTATCGGAGCAATTATAACGAAACGAAACGAAGAAATACTCTGTGCTGATGATACAAGAAGGCGTCTATTTTAAATGTCATTTATTAAAGACGTGCCTTCTGAGCACTTAATTCATTAAATATTCGCTTATCGGTGTTAATAAATCTACGCTGATGAAACAATAATTATTATTTACGGTTTTTCGACCAAAATTAGATTTTAATGATCAAGTCGCATTATTCCTATTTTGGGGGTCTTTAGCAGTGGGAGGACCTGGAGAAAACCCACGAGGTTGGACAGGCGACCCTACTCCTTGTCCAGTACAACCGGGGATCGGAGGAATCGAAATCGCGCCAGTAACACAATGCCAGACCTTACGACACAGCGCGCACGTGCTAACCATTCGGCCATCCAACTAGTAATTATTTCCCCTTATGTCATTGTGGACGAATGTAGTGGGAGTTATAAAAAGACAATTTTTTCTCCCCTCTTCCTGCAATTTTTGGTTGACTTTTTGGTCTAGAACTGGAGAAAAGGGGTCAAAGTTGCAATTTCATAGCAGTTTTGGGTAATACAGATGATTTTACAGCGGAGGGATAGGGGGTGTAAAGTGTCTTTCTGCAGAGCAGTCATTGTGTCGGAAGAAAGATTTGTACCCGTCAACATAAAATCCTCATAGCAAAAAATCTAAACGGTCAACCCACTACAAAATTATGACGAGGAGAATCAAATGGGTGTTCATTGTACACCAACGAAATATTAAGCAAAAAGCTACAACCATTTAACGTTCAAATCAATGGGCAAATAATTGCTAGTCTGTGTCCATAAAATATTTGTTTTAAAAATCACTAACATATGGTACACACATAAATTTATTCGATCGATAGAATTTACAATCGGTTTTGATATAGAATACTTTGTTTATTGTTGTTTCATGACTTGGATTCTCCACTGCTGCAGGTAATACTTATATAATTATATTGGAGAACCGTGGTAACCCAATGAACCAGTCGCTGGCCGAGAGATCCATGGGTTGATCCTGGTGATTTGCCTTTGTCAATGGACCAGGACGGGAGGTATGGCGAGACCCCGTGTTTGTTTGTTCTGATGAGGCCAAATCACTGAGGTCCCGTGCACACCTTGGCATGTTCGGAAAAGAATCTTTGATAGTTAGAATTCAATTGTTTATCGAGAAAGCAGGGGGTTAAACCACATTTCATTCATTCATTTACTAATGTTAGTTTCATATTTTAGCTTTCGGTTATATCGCATCATTAGCTGTATCTATTGATGTAAACATAAACGGGGAATGTTCACTAGTCTGCGGGTTCATTAGTCCACCGATATCTATTTAGGGTTAGGGTTCATTAGTCCATCGATATCTATTATTAGGGTTACGGTTCATTAGTCCACCGATATCTATTATTAGGGTTACGGTTGGGTTACTGTCTGATTCATCGTAAATTTTAAACGGATTTCTTCGATTATGAACAAACTACTTAACTTTGGTTATTATAAACTTACCTGTGTGTTTGTAATGAACTCCCGTTCGATAAAATCCATTGCACAACTAATTATCACAACGATGAAAACAATTTCTCTCTTGAAAAATTTACTTGTAATTTCGACAGAGTCGATGTCAACAATGTCTTCGTGACGTAATGGTCGAATCCAATATACCTGTTGCGGGGGTTGGTTAACATTGAAAGATAGTTTGACAGCGCGATCATTTTGATCGTATATGGGTTTGGGCGACGAAAAATATCAATTGAAGGCAATTACATAGGAGATTTATATGGAAACCATTGATCGCCAGTCTATCAAATTTTCTTCACAATTAAAATATCACTGATTGCACGGATACTTGTAAAAATAAAGTCATGAATAAACTATAAATATCCTATCTTCTTTATGTTATAAATAATTTAACAAGGATCATGAAGCTTACCTCTGAATTCTCTGAGTGTATTTTTAATTTTATACGCATTCTTTCGATCGAATAATAACCGCTTCAGTAACATCTTTAAGCGTGTTGCGGCAGCCCTCAGCGTGTCTATTGCCGTATTGGGTGCCCGGGTGGGTATATAATGCTACTAAGCCCGTATGACCCCGTTAGAAGCGGAACATTAATTCTCGATTCGACAGTTTTGACCGAAGTGTGATAAAGCCCGTAAAACGAATGTATAGTTGTGTTTGTGCGGCATGCGTGTTCAAAAGTAAATAATCCCATCCGAGTCGCTAATCAAATAATTAGAACAAAATATTTCAAAAAGTAAAGCTATAAAATTTGCAGAGATTTTACTAGAATGTAAAAGACGGTAACTAAATACAGGAATGCGGGTAGTTATGTGTGCGAACGCTCAAACTCAATGCCAATTGTCGTAGGTATCCAGACCACTCGGACCAAAGACTACTCGGACTAAGACCAGTCGGACCAAAACAAGACCAGTCGGACCAATTAAATTATATTATAAGGCTAGACAATATGCTATTTATTTATTATTAAATCACAATACAAAGAAGCAAATAATTCTTATACGGAATTCTTATATTTAGAGTTGTTTGGTTCAATTTTGTGTACGGAAAATAAATCAACGATTAGTTTTAAAATTAATTAATAATGGTGCCAAAAAAAAATATCAATCTAATTTTTCTTTACTCTTGCAATGAGACTCGGTATGTCCAGACTTTTGACAGTTTCTACATATACGGGTATACTGTTCTTGTCTGATAGCCTAATTTTACTTTTTCCACATTCGCGGTATCCCCAGTGGTTTCATTCCGTTCTACCCCACTAACCCCTGGGTTACTATATATGGGGGGGGGGGGTGGAGACACGTTTTCAAGTTATCCGCCCTTGATGCGTTAATATAAACAGCACATAATAATACGAAGACCGGACGTTTATATGCCCCTTTTTAAACGTGACTACAAGTGTGGTTCTCGATATTTTGCGATTTGGAATACAATTATCAATTTATTCAAACAACACGTTATTATTAGTTCGAGTAGTCATATTAAAACACACACAATTATCAATTTATTCAAATAACACTTTATTATTGGTTCGAGTAGTCATATTAAAATAAACACAATTATCAATTTATTAAAATAACACTTTATTATTGGTTCGAGTAATTATATTAAAACAAACGCAATTATCAATTTATTAAAACAACATTTTATTATTGGTCCGAGTCGTCTTTCTGTTGGGTCCGAATAGTCTTTTTGTATGGTCCGAGTAGTCTATTTGTTTGGGCTGAGTGGTCTATCAGTTGGTCCGACTGATCTTGAACCGAGTGGTCTTTGGTCCGAGTGGTCATGGATTCTTGTCGTAATTGTACTTGAATTTCCTATGCTGTCACCCCTAATACGAAATGATATCTTCCGCAGAGTGACGTAACCATCTTCCATATTGGTATTTTTCTCTGGGAAAAGTTTGTGATATTTCAATTTTTCAAGAGAGAACTTGTTTTCATCGTTGTGATAATTAGTTGTGCAATGGATTTTATCGAACGGGAGTTCATTACAAACACACAGGTAAATTTATAATAACCAACGTTAAGTAGTTTGTTCATAATCGAAGAAATCCGTTTAAAATTTACGATGAATCAGACAGTAGGTTTATTTATACCCATATTTATAGTATTTCTTATAGCGGTGGACTAGTGAATCCCTCTCAACATTTTAACAATGAAAATTGTCATCACGGAAAACAGATAAACATATACAATGAAATTGACATTGACAATTTGATTTTAGATCCATTTAAACCAAATGGTAAATTTTAGTTTCGGTAATGTGTTTCAGAAATGAATTTAGCTGCGAGTTTATTGGTGCTGTTAGTAGTTCAACTGTTTGGATATATAGATGGACAAACCTGTGCCAATTTCTCCAATGGATGCACTACAAGTGGTGGTTTCCCAACATACAAACAACTTTTTGAACCGGCGTGTGATAATCATGACGTTTGCTATTCGTGTGTAAGTAATCATGACTTTGTAATTCGTGCATGACGTTTGTAATTCATGATTAAGTAATCACGATTGTTGCTAGTCATGTGTAAGTAATATGTGCTACAGTAATACATTCCGTGCCTCCCCAATACGACAAAGTACAGGCCATTAGCTTCATGATGGATATTTACGACAAGTAAAAGCCATTAGCTCATACACAGGGTCGTAACTAGCACAGAGCAACGAGGAGGGGGGGGGGTGTTCTCAGGGGTGCTGTAAAATTGACGGACAATGTATATCTACTGTTTTTATTGTCAACAATTTTAAACGGGGGGGGGGGGCTTAATATAAACCAGCTAACTGAAATACACGACCATTTTAAAGTAGAACTAACAATTTTGTTAATATTGTTTTAAATGCCTGACATAGACTGAACTTTTTTCCAGGGCATCGGACGAGATGTTTCAAGATACGATTGTGACTATGATTTCTACTATAACATGCAAGGCCACTGTTCCGACTTCTCCTTTTTTCAAAGGCTATGGTGTAACCTGATCAAATGGAAATTTTATTTAGGAGTGCGTTGGTTTGCGTCAAGTTATTTTGTAAATCCGTCGCCATCGTATTGCAACGAGACGTGGGTGGATAACTGTTTACCTTAAAAGAAAAAAAAAACTTTAGTGGATCAAAAATAAACTATACAGATTTCATTACTTTTATCTGTTTTATTTGTTTTGTAAGACCCGCTAATAAATTGGATTCGTCTTCTTACATAGCCGGATAAATGTGCACATTTCAAGGAGGTCAGACCACGATTTCACAAAGCATTCTCAGACTTAAGTTAAGAATTTACTAAAAATCGTTCGCCTTATTTTAAAGTTGCAATTTCATATTTTTTTAAGTTATATTTTTAAAATGTATTAAAATAAAGCCTTAAAATAGATGGTATCTATAAACAGTCCTACCTTGTTAAAGAATAATCCTATTAATCCTGTAATTCCAACGTTTGAAGATAACTACTCTATGGTGGAGAATAGAAAACAAGGGAGGTAATTGTGTTATTATTTCCGGTGTAAATGAGTTTTAAGTGTGAGAATGACACCTATGATCGTATAATAGTGAGTTGACAACCTAGTTGAGCAAAAGACAGAAATGATTATGTTTTGACTTTCTTAGAAAATATGAAATTGTAACTTTAACTAAAATATAAAATTTTCGTTGTTTTAATGTATCAAATACATCAAAGAGAAACTATGTTGCAAAGTTTTATGTTTCTGGATCAAGGATATTTCTGAGAATGCTTTGGGAAATTGGGGCCAGATTTAATTACTTGTATGTGGGTTTGTTTTATTAGATTAATCTCAAATCAATGGATTATTATAAATTTCTGTCATAAATAATTCCTTTGGCGAACAAAGAGGGATTATTGTAATAAATAGAAGGTAAATATTTCGAAAAAGACTTAGAACAGAGAGGGGGGTGGGTGGAGGGGGTAGAGTGATATTCTCGTTATCTTCAAAATGCAGCTGAATAAGTACGGACAGGAGCGGTCTGAGGACCATCTGGTTAAAACACAGATTCTATTTCGTTTCGTTTTTATAGTTCAAAATTTCGTTTTACTTGTCTTTACTACACTAGGGTCTGGAAGAGTTGTTATTATTGACGTGTTCTGAATGATGTGAGGGATTAGCCAATGAAACGGTCTGTTACGGCGAGTTTTTGGCATGAGGTGCACGGAACTGTTGGTAAACCACTAGAAACGTCAACGCTGATTGATTCATAGGGTAAAAAGCCGCTTTTTAGTGGAGTAAAGTGGGGGTCACGGTCAGACGGCATCTGGTCTGCTAAATATAGACATCCACCAAACCCGATCAGATTGGGTCTGAGGACGTCGTGAGGTAAAAGATCGTTCAGATACCGTTCCAAAAGGAATTATATTTCAGTGTTCTATGTAACACTTTTCTGTGTAATAAATTAATTTAAACCGGTGAGTATTACATAACAGACCCGAAGTAATGTATATATCAGTTTAAATGACGTTCGTGTAACCAGTTGGGTTTACCGTCCTACTTGTCTTCTCCATCTGTGTTAATGAAGACGGATATACGCCAAGCATGCAATGAGAGTAATTTTGCCCTAGCAGTGGCGCTATGGTCTACTCTCGAATTACAGTTGCCAATTGTTCGATTACGTGCACGTCAATGTGTACACGAGGCCTCGATTGTCCCATCCTAATGACTAGACACTGTTCATTGCAAGCCGTCCGTCCCCACTGACCCAAAAACCTTCCTCGGCCAACAGTGGGGTCAAAAACGAGACTCCCAGGCTAGCGATTCTTACGGAGGGGGGGGGGGTATCAGACCGGTCATTGGGTTAAGTAGCGGGTTTTCAAATCCCCGCTTGTATATGACAAAGAGTAGAGTCGGCTGTCCATCCTCGTGAATTTTCTTCTGTTTCCTCCCTCTTCTAAAGAACCCTATGCGCAATTTTTCCGCCGTATAATGCTACTCTACTTGATGTTTAAGTTTCTCAATGAGATCAACACATACGATGAGCTGTTTACGTCACTCGACAAGACAGACTGACAGTTATTTTCATACAAATATATTATTTTCCTGAGGGCGCCACATGTATAATATTCATGGATTCCAGGTTGTTTTTTTTCTTTTAGTGTTTCTACTTTCCCTATATACCGAATTTACCATAATTGTATTGTAAATAACTATTCTAAAAATACTTTCGTGGGAATTATGTATCTTTAATAGAATAACAGGTTGATAAATATATTATATATATATACATTTTCTGTTAATGTGTTTGCATATTCGATCATAAAATTTATTTCACTGTTATGATTTTCTCATAAGAAAATAATCGATAATAAAACATGGAAATAAGAAACATTAAATAACAGCTGTAAAATATAAAAATAATCAATATACAATCAAACATAAATATATTTAATACACTATGATGAAATCAGTACAAACGATCGCTGTAAACAATAGACCTATACTGTCTTGTGAATTGTACATGAAATCAATAAATAGGATATATAGTTAGACAAAATAAATAATGTTGTCTCATTGGACAGGACTTGTAATTCACAGGCGACTGTAACGTGGAACAAAAATCAAAAATAACATCAAACTATGACTAAGTATATGTCTAAAGTCTGTTACATCCATGTTCGTAAGCGAGATTATCAAATAAATGGTCTGATTCCAATTTCTAACTCAGGGTCAATTAACTCGTCTGAAACAGATTCTCTTTCAGTAGATATAATAATACCAAGGTGAGAAACGGGTTGGATTAAAGATTAAAATAATTGGCATCAAAGTTCACTACTCTAGATTCGTCAACCAATGGCAATACTTACTAGTTTTCGCTAGGTCGACAATCGAGTCTACGATGACGTTTAAAAATTGTCCACGTGATTTAAAGAGGGAGAGAGAGAAATGGGGTTTAACGTCCACTCGACACAAACTATGTCATTTCGGGACTAACATATTGTTTAATTTTATTTCAATAATTCGCTTGCGCATAGGGGTCTTTAGCAGTGGGAGGACCCGGAGAAAACCCACGAGGTTGGGATTTAAAGAGGGTCTTACAAAGATGAGCGTAATACCATACAATGTGCACACTATGAGGGCTGTTTTACTCGAACAGTGGAGCTTTGGCCTACTTATATTTCGAATTCCAACGTGTAAACAGGACCTCGGTTGATCGTTTCATCCGAACTATAAACGCGTATTGGCCTGCGTCCTGCATCACTAACAAGGGTAAACCGTGTTGGTAAATCCCGTGTAATATTCTCGACAAACACCCTGAACAAACCCCAGAACTTCTGGTTAGGTTGTCATGTATTTCCGTGAGCTGGTTAAAGATACATTATGTAAGAGCTACATTTGGCTATTGCAGATCGTTCGTTTGGCCTCAAATGTTATATACAAATCTAATGGGAAATTTATTCACATGCCAAACACATAATCAACGCTCTAGAGCATCGGTTGGTTGATATTTTTAACGGATTTAAACACGGTCGTATGTTAATAATTGAATTTTAAAAATAGTTAAACGAGACTTTTTTATGATCGTAACAATGGTAACAATGACAATCAAAACTACACTATTCTTCAAACGATCAAAACTCCGCTAGGAATGGTATAATTTGGCTGAAATTTTCAATATATTCCCTTTCCATTATCTATTATTTAAACTATTAATTTTAAGTCCTCGCTTGTACATGACATAGAGTAGGATCGGCTAGCTAACCTCGTGAGTTTTCTTCCGGTTCTCCGGTTTCCTCCCGCTGCTAAAGACCTCTACGCGCAATTTTTCCGCCGTTTAATCGTACTCTACTGGACGTTTAAGTTTCACAGTGAGATCAATGAGGCATGAGATGAACACATACGATGTACTTCTGACGTCACTCGAAAACACAGATTTACAGTTAGGAATACAAATACATGTATATTTTTTTCCTGAGGGAACCAAATGGGTGTTTTTCAGGGATTTCATTTTTTTTCTGTTAGTGTCTCTACTTTCGATATATACCAAATGTTTCGTACTGGTATTGTAAATAACTACAAATACTTTCGTGGGAATGTATCTTTAATTGAATAACCAACTGGTAAACATAATATATATATATATTTATACCCATACTATTTCTCGACTCTTTGATGAAAATGGGAGGGTATACACCGATACGCGGCCACTTTTGAAAAGTGGCCGTGTATCAGTTGAAAAGAATCAGTTGAAAAGTGGCCGTGTATCAGTTGAAAAGGGACAAAAATAACAAAATCACGATTTACATATTTATTTGAACATCTACAACCCGTTTTGAACATGTTATGGTAAAAGAGTCATCATTTTCAATTGTCTCAGCACTTTTCGAATGTGCGTCACTCTCAGTCAGATTCTTACATTTTGTCTCACATTTCTTTACATTTTGATATCTAGTCGCACTTTCACATTTTGTCGCGGCTTATGCTCATCCGCAGCACATAATCCAAATACTTTACTATTATAAATTAATCTCTTGGCATTTTCAACACTAAAAACTTTCACATTTTGTCGCGGTTTATGCTCATCCGCAGCACGTAATCCAAATATATTACTAGTATAAATTAATCCATTGGCATTTTCTACATTACAAACTTGAGAACTCTACAATTCCAACTCGTCTTCATTTAATGGCTGTTCTTGTTTTTGTCTGTCAGTGGATGTCAATACCTCGCGAAGATAATGAATTGATCTGTGCGGAAATTAGCAAATGTACCTTGTACTGATCTCGAAGTGCACCATATTCCTATGCAATTGTTACAGGTGGTAAAATAGAAAGTATTTTACAGTTTTTTGTGTATATTAATTTTTTATGTTTTTAGTACAGCACATGTTAATAAGCACCTTTAAACCCCCACTTTAAGATTTTACATTTCTTCTGTCAGTTTCTCCGTCTTCATTAGCCCAGTTTGGAGCAAAACAGTAGGACGTTAAACCCCATTTCATTTCATTTCTGTCAGTTTCTTTAAGCTGTTGTTACTTTAATAATAGTGAGTACATTTAACTGAGTTTCATTGTGTCTTGGTCATGTGATGTATTTTTTGGTAGATACATTCAGTTGTTAACCATCTTTGTTTCAAAGAGGAGCTTTAACAAAGTAGTGTCTAAGTTTAGTTTTTGGAGATTGATTTCTGTGAAGTTTTTGTAAAGAATTGCAATTATTTACCAGGTATGTTGCATTATGTTTTACTGATTATATAAGC